GCCCTGGGGTGGGGAGGGCGCGAGGAGCTGGGTGAGGAGGAGGAGGAGGAGGAGGAGGAGGAGTGATGGGAGGAGGCGGGCAGGGAGCCGGGGTGCTGGGCTCGGCGGCCGCAGCTCAGCTGCACCCAGGCCGGCTCTCCCGGGCAGCGCACAGCATCTCAATGAAGCGGCCGGATGCAGACGAACATTCAGGCAGCTCTCGGGAATGAATAGCCGCCTTTGATTTGGGCGCCCAAGTAAATGCCAGCTCCCAGCCCCAGCTTTAAAAACAGTGGAGTGCTGGTGCCAGAGGAATGCACGGCTCCGGGTGTTGGTACAAGACAGACTTTTGATGACTCACTGCAATGCAAACAAAGATGGCAGAAATACTGTACTGTACGCCGAGAAATGCTTCGTGGTGCCACGGCAACTGAGACAGCCTGGAAATTTATAGTGCAGTTTTGCATACGAATTACCCAGTAAACTGCCTCCCTGCCATACAGTAGAGCCCAGTGTCAAAGCATTTAAACTATTCCAAACAGTCTGCAGGGCTGGCAGAGCTGCGCTCTCCTCCAGGGCAGCCGGCCGGGGGCCGGGCGAGGGGGGCTGGGGTTGGGATGGATGTGGGACCTGGACGAGGGAGGGGAGAAAAGAGGCAGGGAAGGGGACAGTGAGGGGGGCAGGAAGTAAGAGGGGCAGAAGCCCACAGGGCCCAGGGTACCTACCATCCCTCCTCCTCCTGGGGCCCCAGAGCCACGTCCCCTGCAGCAGGCCCAGCTGGTCCAGCCCCAGAGTCCTTCCCCACTCCACCCTCCCAGTCCTTGCCTGGCACTTTAAGAAAAGGGCAACACTGTGGTGGGGCAACCAAGAGCCCGAGGACCAGCCCTGGCCCCTGGCCTGTCCCAGCAGAGGCCTCGGCAAAGACACCAGCTCCTCCAGGCACACACTCGGCTGTGCCTATGTGACCCCCCAGCAGCCCCATTGCTCAGTAATGAAATCTGGCCATGCTGGCTGCCTGTGGGGTCCACGGTGTCTGACCTTCACTGACCCCTTTTCTGGGAAGGGGCAGCCCTGCAGTGTCTGTGGCCAGACCCAGGCCCGCTCCAGAGGACGGGCACCATCTCACTCTGGGCTCACACAACCACCTTCTGAATCATGTGAACCCTGGAGCAACCCATGGGACTCCCCAGCCTCAGTTTCCCTGTCCGCCACCAACTGTGGCCCCCAGGAAGAGCCTATNTGGTGGGGCAACCAAGAGCCCGAGGACCAGCCCTGGCCCCTGGCCTGTCCCAGCAGAGGCCGCGGCAAAGACACCAGCTCCTCCAGGCACACACTCGGCTGTGCCTATGTGACCCCCCAGGAGCCCCATTGCTCAGTAATGAAATCTGGCCATGCTGGCTGCCTGTGGGGTCCACGGTGTCTGACCTTCAGTGACCCCTTTTCTGGGAAGGGGCAGCCCTGCAGTGTCTGTGGCCAGACCCAGGCCCGCTCCAGAGGATGGGCACCATCTCACTCTGGGCTCACACCACCACCTTCTGAATCATGTGAGCCCTGGAGCAACCCACGGGACTCCCCAGCCTCAGTTTCCCTGTCCGCCACCAACTGTGGCCCCCAGGAAGAGCCTATCCCACCTGCGTGAAGGGACGGGGTTGAGGCTCGAGGGGATGGGGTCGAGGCTCGAGGGGACGGGGCCTGCTTCCCACCTGCCCCCACGGGAGCATCAGCTGCCACCACCCATGAAATCCTAGCGGTGACAGCAGGAGCCAGGAGGAGCCCGCCGCAGGCCTGTGGGGAGGTGAGGCAGCACCACTCCATCCCTCACTCCCGGCATCCCCTCCAAGGCATCCGGAGACGAAAAAAGGACCATCTGGTGCCTCACTGTTTACACACCATGGGCTCAGCTTCCGACGACCAGACAAAAAGCCGCCGAACAGGGAGTGGGAAGAAATCCAGGTGTGGGGAAGCCGCCCGGCGGGCGAGCTACCCGCAGAGGCCCCTCCGGGGGTGCCTTTGTGCTGGTCTTTCTTGCTGCCCACATGGGGCTGATGACAGTTCTCGGGGAGATGGTGAGGGGAGGATGGGGACTGGGGCATTGACATAAACGGCCCGCGCTCAGCTGCACCAAGGAGCTGGGCACTGCCGGGTGGCGAGAGGGGCTCAGCCCTCTAGTCCTCTTGGGCCACACCCTCCCTGGAACAGACCCACCACCCACAGGTCACTGCTTAGTTGCCGCCTCCTCCAAGAACTCTGCCAGGTGACCCTCATGAGCGCAGCAAGGGCAGGGCTGGGTCTGCCCAGTGCCTTGTGGGTGATTAACCGAGTGCTGGGTACAGCTAGAGAGCGGCTGTGCCACCCAGCGGCACACAGCACAGTGCAGAGGGGAGAGGACCCCAAAAAAGGCCCCCTCCACAGATCCATGGGGCCCACCACTGGGAGCCTCCA